AAAACCCAAAAAACAGTTTCATTCTTAAAATATGCTTGAATATTTGAGAAACTGAAAATCAGTTTCTCAGAGGCTTGCATATTAAATTCATGAGTTCAGTCACCATTAGCTTGTAAATGTGCTGAGAGCAAGAACTATATCTCACTGACCTTTGCCCCTCCAATGCCTGGCACCTGAGGCTTGCTGAGTATTGAATAGAATCAGAGATATTAGAAGGGCTTTGTGCTCTCTTATTCCCTGTGCCTTGGTCCTAACTGGAAGAAGTGATACTGAAGAGAACATCAACTGTGAATATTCCAGTGGAATGACCAGCCTGAGGGGTCCTCCATCCAAAAAGCCTGGCATGTTGATCTTTGCGGAAATTCCAGTAGGGAAAGTTCATCTGCTTCAGATAACGACTCAGCAGGTAGATTCAGGTTTCTGGGGTCAAACTTGAAGACAACATGCTTTCTTTGATGATTATGCATTAGACCAGCTTTGCTAAAAGCTGGTGAGTGTTTCTTCATAGTCAAAAAGAAATGCATCATAGCCTAGTAGTCTTTGATGCTGCCTCAAACTAATGCTTTGAATTCTGCCAACACCTCCAAATTGTATCTACTCTAAGGAGCACATTGTATTGGACTTTTGTGTCAATTTTCATCTAACAGAAGTGCCTCCTGATTTTAAAATTTCTGGTCATTCATGATCAAATTCTGAAAAGGTCACAGGGAAGCATATGCATCTTCCAACTTTGTTCTTGAGGTCATCAGACACAATGAAGAAGAAATTTTATATATATGATATATTATATATATATATATATATATATATACATATTTTATACAATAAATATTTCTAAAGCTTTTGTAAAGCATACCTAAATGCAAAATGCTTACAAAAAGATACATGCTGTGGAATGTGCTATACGCTCTGTCACGTGGCAGCAGAATAGAAAAGGGACACCCTAAAAAGTGACTGCTATGAAAGACACGTGTCCCAAGAACTTAGCAGAGCCCCATGAAGCATTCTTCCTGTATCTTCAGCACTTGAATTCAGCTCTTGACAGGGTCAATGTTGATGGCAGACTCACCAACACTTCTTTTAGTTATGGGTCAAGAGATTTCTTTGGATAGATCAAGAACCCTAAGGGTTACACATGTCACTTTGGCAGTCACTGTTCAATAGCTATATTGCAACTTCTATTTGTCAATGAGACTTTGGGGAAAGAAGTAGCTCAAGGATAAGAACCAGAATATATATATGTGTGTGTGTGTGTGTGTGTGTGTGTGTATTTTTTTTCCCACCAAAATAAAAACCTGAGTAGGGAAGTAATAACTAGGCACTAAGTTTCACATTGATTGTCACTGCTGACTCAGCACAGATGGTAAAGACCTGACCATGCAGGGAATCAAGCCTTGGTCAAAAATGATACTTTATTTGTTCTTCCTACATTATCTGTGCCAGACACTTCCCTTTCACCCTCACTTCCCATGAACAACCAAAGTCCTGTGAGATTTCTTTCCTATATTTCTCATTGGATTATGAGTGACTATTTTGTTTTATATTTGAGGATACAGTACAAAAATAAAACTGATGTGGTTCCTGCCCTGAGGAAACATGTGGTCTGAAGTGAGATACACCATTAAGTGAAGAGGCAATTTCAACACATCAAGGTAAGTATGTTGGTATAGACTGGTTCAGGGTGCTATGAAGGACACTTAACTCATATACAGGAGGTGCCAAAAATTTTTCTGGGAGAAAAAAAACTAAGATTTGAATTTATCTTATCTCTTCACTCTGTTAGCAGAGCCTAGGGTTAGGACCTTTTATCTTGCCTTAACAACAACTGTCCTGTTCTTTGAATTGGCCTTTCTGCCTTTAAACTTACCTTTGGTAAAGCTTTATCCTAGAGATAAAAAGCAAACTTCACAGACTGGGTCTCTTTGAGATCTGGATCCCAACTTTCTCTCACCAGACTTCCTCATGCTTTCATATTTAAGACATACAGAACTCACCTCATTTTCTCCAATGTTCTATAGTTAGCCATGTCTGCCTGGGATTCAATTCCCTTTATTTTTCAAGGTTAGATCAAGCTTTCCCTCCTCTGGAGGGAAGGCTTTTCCAGACTCCTTAGTCTGGGACAGGCACCTGTATGATATATATGTGCTAAAGAGTCTGATAATAAATATGTATCATTTAGATACCATAAAGAATCTAATAATAAATATGTACTATTTAGTTTGGGCTTCAACTCAGGGTTGGTCAGTGGCCCTAATTAAGAATCTGTATTTCAGGAGTTGCCAGATAACATGAATTCCCATAGACAGTTATTAAAACCTCTGCAGCTCCTCATTTATTGACAAGTTTTACTCAAGACTTTGCAAATAGCTAAAAACAAAAAACAAAATAACAAACCCCCTCCACTCCTCCCAAAGCAAATATTTTAATCAGTGAGATTAATGCCTTGTTAATCAGTTTGGTGGCGAATACTGGAAAGAGATTGTTACTGATGAAATAAAAGGTTTTCAAGCTATGTAGACTGAATGAACTACTTCAGAGAGAGTTCCAACTTTTGCACAGGGATGGAATGAGTCTACACTTTATGGCTTAGGAATGCCACTGTCCAGTCCATTGGTGAAGGAAGTTTCTGTTTTCCTGAAGTAGATTAAAAGAATAACAGAATCCATTTATTTAATAAATGCTTATATATGTGGCAGAATTTGCTTTCGTTACAACCTAACAACCAGGTTGTAGAGGAGAAGCTAACTAGTCCTTAAAGTTCTTCACCGAGCCTTTTACCATAAAAAACATAAATTATATTATTACATTATATTAGCTCAGTCATTTCAAAACAGGGCCTCTTCTTGGTGCTGGCAGCAACCTTCACTCCTGGTAGGCTGTTTGGTAATTGTCAGTTTACCTTCTACCATTCCCACTAAATGTTGAAGTCCTTGAGAGCAAGGATTGTATTTTTTATCTCTTATCTAATATTTAGCTCAGTATCTAGTATAAAGAAACATTTGCTGATTGGACAATAATACATAGTAGCATCATAAACAGAGGATACATGATTAGTCATGTATCCTCTGTTTGGAAGGCTTATGCTTTAATACGAGTATTGACAACTTGAGAACTTATTATGTGTCAAACACAATGTTAGGTACTTAGTATTTCATTTAATATTTATGAGAATTCAGAGAGGGAGCATTACTATTTTACATAGAAAGAAAAAGAAAGGCTAGCTTTTTGGGGGTTATTCAGATAATTAAGAAGAGTAAACCTTTAAATCCAACTTGGGTTGTACCCTCAGCACACATTTTTAATCAGTACTTTGGAAGTGTTTCCCATGGCTAAATTTGGAGAGCTTATACAGAAAAAAAAAAAAACAAACAAAAAAAAACTGCCCTTGCATTCCAATTTCCTTATATGTTTATTGAGACTGTATACATTTCAGCAGCACTGCTGCAGCTGGAGAAAGACTCAGGCTTTTACCGTTGTTTCGATGTTAAATGTACCCAAAAGGTCCATGTTTTGAGGGCTTGGTCCTTGGGGAAGCAGTTTTGGGAGGTACTGTGGATCTCAGGGAAAGGGGGCCTAATGGAAGGTCCTTGAGCCATTAGGCCCAGGCATTTGGAAGGGATTGTGGGACTCTGTCTAATCCTCTTTCTGCTTCCAAGCTTGTAACGTGAGCAGCATTCACTCTACCATGTGCTCCTGCCATGATATGCCACTCTGGCCAGGGGCCCAAACCCACAGGGCTATCCATTCCTGAACTTGAACTGCCAAAACCATGAGTTAAATAAGCCCTCTTCTCCTGAGTAACCTGTCTCAGGTATTCCCTGTAGGAGCATGAAGGTAACTAAGCTCCCTGCAGTACAGTGTGATGGTTCTGAGTAGCAACACTCAGCACCTCAGGCTTGCTGCCCTTGCTGCCTTGACAAGAGTGCAAAAGACTTTCCTGCACAGCATGCTACAGGGCTTTTCAGACCACAACTTTTGTTTTTCTTTTTTCTTTTGAAAAAGTCTCAGGGGCTTCTGCAGGCAGTGAAAAGGGACCCATTTTTGGCACATTGCTTTGAAGCTAAAGCCTGCTGTTAGTCAAGAGAGACAGTGAATTGTTATTTTTGTTCTACAATCCTTTGCTGACATGGATGCTGGCTGAAACTGCAAAAAAAGGCTAAGAAAAGAAAATGCTTCACTATCAGAGAAAGAAAAATGGTGAAAGAAAACACAAGAGAAATGTCAGTCTATTTATGTTTCAACCGTACTGTTGGAGCTGAAGAAAGAAAAGGGTTTTAGTGGTTCTCTTGACATCATCTGAGGACTGCTCAGGTGAAGCACTCACTCAGGTGAGGTCCATCTGTGCCACCCAGTTTACAAATAGGAACTAAAACACTACAGATGACAGGTCTAGTCTATCAGTGTTTGTTTTAGGCACAGCTATCTAGAGGAAAGCACATGATTAAGGAAATCTCACCCAAAGTACTCTGGATTAGAAAAAGGGGAATAAGGGAAGGGAGGGGGGAATGGGAATAGGAAAGATAATAAAATGAATTGGACATTACTAGCCCATATGCATATATGATTACGAACAATGTAATTCTATAACTAGAAGAATGAGRGTTATATTCCATATATGTATAATATGTCAAAATGCATTCTGCTATCATGTATAACTAATTAGAACAAATAACAAAAAAAGAAAAGAAAATCTATACAGCTTTCTCCCTAGAATATCCTTCATCTGCTGCCACTCACTGATAACAGGATGCCATGCCTGTTGTAGAGGATGGGAATTCTAGAACATGGTAGTTTCCAGGAGACTGATGCTAGGCCCCAAACCCCACCTGGCTTCTGTGGAAGAGCCAAGGAGTCCTGGCAATGTGCCGTTAAAGCAACCAATCAAAAAGGATCTCTGACAGCATTAAGATGATTAAAAATCCTTGCCACTTTGACAAGACAACAGAGGAAAATAAACACACCAAAGATGGAATTATTTTTTGCCTTTAAAGCTCACTCACCTTCTTAGCAGCAGGATCCCCTCTGGATTGATGATATGATGGAGACATTTTTACCTGGGGAAAAAAAGGCAAACATTTTAACATCTTTTTAGTTACAGCCTAGTTTTATTTGATTCACCTTCAAAAAAATTCAACAATCTGGTGCAATTGAGATAAAACAGATATTTTCACAAGAATGATGAATAGATTTTATGTTAAGTCCCATCAAAATTTTTCTAGAGATCAAAAAGTCAGTTGTTAGCCAAGATAAAAATATGATTAGGGTAAGAGAAATGGAACAGATGGCTCAAATTGGTTTTAATCAAATGGTGAGGAACTAAATAGATATAGAGCCTTGGTGATATTGTTAATCAACTGATGTAATAAGCAATGGCAGCATTTCTTGCAGAGGTCAGTAAAAAGGAATGAACACTTGATAAAATAATGTAAATGCACCTCAAATAATTATGCTGAGTGAAAGAAGTCAAAGAACAAAGCACATGTTTTATAATTCCATGTATCTTAAATTCTAGAAAATGCTAACTATGTGACAGAAAGCTACTCGGTGATTGCCAAGGAACTGAGTAAATTTTGGTGATGGCAGACAAGGCTATTATCTTGATTGTCATAAAGAATTCATGGATGTGTGTTTTTATCAAATTTGTACTTTGTTTACGTATAGTTTATATCAATTATTACCTCAAAAAAGCATTTAAAGAAATTTATGGAATTTTCTAAGTGGTTGGAAAGAAATTTATAGAGGACTTTGGGGTTTATATTTTGCCCCTGGAGCCTCAATTTCTCTCTCTGCTTCCCTGCTGCCTTGAGCTGAGCAACTTTTCTTCTCTGTGCTCCTCCACCATAATGTTTCTGCACTGGAGCCAGCAGCCCAAGGATTGAATCCTCTGAAACCAAAGCCCATGTCCCCAGACCCAACAGTAACCTCATAGACTCTAGGCCTACTGCCCCCCGGAGAACATAGCCCTGGGAACACTGCAGAAAACCAATACCTGAATCAACACTGAATCAAAAAGAGAATGCAAGCCACATGTGTCATTTTAAATTTGCTAGTGGCCACATTCAGAAGAAAAGGAACCCAGATGGAGGAACTAAGGCATGGGAGATCACCCACAAAGTCACTTTGAGGAGCCAAGAGTGGAAGCTATGATCAGTAGGCCCCAAGCATGGAGTCAAGATTCAGTTAAACAGGGTTGGGGATATGGCTTAGTTGATAGAGTGCTTGCCTTGCATGCACAAGGACCCAAGTTCAATCCCCAGCACCACAAAAAAAAAAAAAAAAAAAAGATTCAGTTAAACATGAAGACACAATAACAAGAAGAAAGAAGAAAAAGAAGTTATGCAGATAGTATGCTGGACAGAAAACAACAAGCATACCAAGCATGCTGGCTAAATGCACTTTCCTCAAAACTTTGTCAACAGCATTAAAGGACAATGTTAATGAATGATAGCAAGGAGCCCAGCATACAGTAGGTGCTTGATAAGTACTAGTTTTTCTCAAGCTATATAGTTTGAATTTCTATGAACAAGTGTTTTTCATTCATATGTGGTCAATCTTTAGTGTAGAACCTAAAACACTTTCAAATCATTTTTAAAAAGATGTCTATTTTAAATAAAGAAAGAAATGTTTCATGGTTCAGACAGAATGGGCAAACAATATTTTGGAGAGATGTGTAAGCAAACACTATAAAATAAAATTTGTGTTTTCTCAAAAAAAAAAAATGGAAATTTAGAGCTTTACATGCTATGTTGGAAAATAAGGCTGAAAAGAAGGGCCTACACTTCCAATTTGAGGAACTAGAAATACAAGATCAAAATAAAACCAAAGTAAGCAGAAGGAAGAAAATAATACAGAGCTAATATCAAACAGAGAATATTAACAAAGCCAAAGGTTGTTTCTTTGAAAAGATCAGTGAAATTGATCATAAGTTAAATGAAAAAGACACATTCCTTAAAAAACAGAACTTACAAAACTGGACCCAAGATGACACCAAAAATATGAACAATCTTCTTATCTATTAAAGAAATTGAATTTTTTAAATCTTCCCACAGTGAAATTTCCAAGTCCACTTGGAATTCTAGCAAATATTAAGCATGTAGAAACTAATGTATGAAATTAGAACAGCCACTTTTTAATTAACAAGAAAAATATAATTATTACTGTCAGTACTTCAATAGCTATTAGACATGATATGTCTAGAATGATGAAGAGGGGTATAAGGACTCAGCAACTGCTCTCAAGATTTCAGGCTTCTTCCAACTCAGGTCTAATTATGAATCAATAGAATTCAGAAGATGAAGATGTTTCCTCTTACTGTTACATCACCATTCAGGTAGGACCAGGTTGCAGGCTTTTTCACTTTTCACTGACTTTAAGAATAACTTCAGAAAACATACCTCAGCTGAAGGATCAAAACTGCTGGCTTYTCAGACTGCTCTTTCAGATTTAGCAGGTCTGCAAAAATTAGACTTGACAGTCCTTGCTGTAACATACCATGACACTAGTACTCTGGAATTCTCTCCAGATGTGTGATGTAGCTAGCAAAAAGTGATCCAATTTTAACTCCTGCTATGCTCGTTTTGAAAATGGAGAAAATAGATTTTCAAAGCAAAGTAGATATTTAAGCTTAAAAAAATGACCTCATGAAAGAATCTGCAGACTTTTAAAAACAAGCCAAGAAATAGATTTAGTGGTGGACAATTTATCTGAGAAGGCTGTTCTCTGGAGATTAAGTCAGAGAGTGTTTGATGTGGCAACAGAAATGGTTCAGTATCCCTCATGAAAGGTCTTATTTTTCATTTAACAGGATTCCTTCTGGAAATGCTTTAGGCAGTACAGCTTAAAAGAGATACTTTAAATCCAGGTGTGCAGACACTAGGTCTGGGGATATGGATGATATACTGAGCTATGGCCTTAATAATGCTGAACTTCTGTGATCTTTGTTAATAAAATGATTCCTGATTTAAGCAACCTGAGTTGAAGTTTAAAAGCAATAGGAATGCCTTCCTTATCATTTTGCTTTTAAAAAATTCTCTCTCTCTCTTTTTTTTTGTTTTGTTTTTTGCAGTTCTGGGGACTGAACCAGGTATGGCATATGCAAGGGAAGCACTCCACCACTGACCTATACCGTCAGTGCTTTTTTTTTTTTTTTTTTTTTAAATAGCCTTATTTTTCTGATTACAAAAGGGATACATGGGCACTGATGGAAAGTTAGAAAATACAAAAGAGCTGATGTGATTCTGCAATTTGTATTTGGGGTAAAAATGAGAGTTCATAACCCAATTGAGTCAAATGTATGAAAGATGATATATCATGAGCTTTGTAATGTTTTGAACAACCAATAAAAAAAATATAAAAAAAATACAAAAGAGCAAACAATGCAAATAAAAACCACAATTCAACCATGGAGCAAGAACTACTATTAACATTTGGAATCACACTGTTTTTTGATCTTTTCATGTTGTAGGTTATGTGTATTTATTTAGCCATCCCAGTATTTTTCTATAATGGATTTTTCATGATGAAGAGAGGTATAAGGACTGCTCTAAAGATCTCAGGCTTCTGATGATTACAAAGCAATTCATTCATTGTATAAACATACTATAACTAATTTACCTAACAATATGCTGTTGGAACATTTTGGTTGTTTTCTATTTTTTTTTAATTATTCAAAAGGTTGTCATAGTATCCTTATATGTAACACTTGGAGCACAAGATTTATTATTTACATTGGACAGTTTCTTATAAGCTGCTGAATCAAAGGGGTATAAACATTTAGAAATTTCTATCACCAGTACTTCTCCTAACAAGAAGGTCCACAAATGTTTTTCCTATAATTCTGAAATCCCAAAAAAGCTCTGAATCTAAAAGGATTGCTCTAAAAAAAAACCCTCTGGCACCAAAAGTCATCTGGCAACAAACCCTGACCTGAGCTGAAGTGAGGCTATGTATAGCCTTTATCTCACATGAGCATTTGAGTGTGGGATGCTGCCCAAGTCCACACACAGACTGTTATATAATGTACAATACCAGCACCATATTGCCCTTCTTTTAGCACTTTACAAATGTCAATTGGCCTCTGTTTTCCTAAATGAGAAGTCAGCCATCATTCTTATTGTTGTTTTATCCAGTTTGACTATGACTGTGGTTTTCTTTATATTTACGCTGATAGAGTTGGTCTTTGTTTTGTTTTTTTTTTTTTTTTTTGTTCTATGGATTCATGTTTTTCAGAAAATTTGAGAAAATACCAGACTTTATCAGGTCAAACTTCCCAAGTCTCCTTCTTTTTCTTGTTTCCTCATCATGTTTTAAAATTCCAAACATGCACACAACACAAACTTGATATTGTTTCATGGGTCACTAAGAGTTCTTCACACTTTTTCAATTCTTTTGTCTCCATGTTTTTTTAATAGTAAATTCTATTGAACTGTCTTCAAATTTAGTAATAATGTTTTTTCTCAGTGTTCTCTGAGATGCTGTTGACATACTACAAAATCTTGTTTTATCTCGAGAATTCATTTTTTTGTTTTTTTAATGTAAATTTTTAAAATTTATATATGAAGCAGAATGCATTACAATTCTTATTACATACATAGAGCACAATTTTTCATATCTCTGGTGTTATACATAGTATGTTCACACCAATTCGTGTCATCATACATGTACTTTGGATAGTAATGATCATCACATTCCACCATCATTAATTACCCCATGCCCTCCCTTCCCCTCCAACCCCTCTGCTCTATCTAGAATTGTCCATTCCTCTCATGCTCCCACACCCTATCCCACTATGAATCAGCCTCATTCGGCATTTGTTTTTTGGGGATTGGCTAACTTCATTTAGCATTATCTTCTCTAACTCCATCCATTTACTTTCAAATGCTGCGATTTTATTCTCTTTTATTGCTGAGTAATATTCCATTGTGTATACTACATGCCACATTTTTTATCCATTCATCTATAATTTTTATTTCATAGTTTTATTTCATAGTTTGTATTTCCATGCTGACAGTTCCCCATGTGTTTAATCATCTTGGTCATCTCTTCCTCCAGATCT